AGACAAAGAAGAAATAGTATTAAAGAATCTAGAAGTCATTTTTTTCTGGATCCAACTTTCTCCTGACATTTCACTCCAGGGAATCAAGGAGAACATTGTTCAGATGTTTGATAAGACATTATTCTGTGTCCTGCTGCCTAATCTTCTTGGGGGAAAAATGCTGTTGTAGGCCATCAGTAGAGAATTAATTATAGCACGGAAATGAAAAGGAAGTGAAAAAGTAAGTTTTCTTGACTTTCCTAACTTCTACGCAATACCTGATTCACCCAAATTTTTCTGGAGGTTAGAATAAAGTGATAATTCAAAGAAGTCTGTTTTCTGTTTTTAACAGCCAGAGAAAACCATGGGTGCTACGTAACTTTGTGTCAAATGGCTGCCCAGCGTGGGATGAGGAAACAGCAGATGATGCAGCAATGATAGCATCAATCACTGTATTTTCCATCACACACTGGAGGCTTAGACATTTAGATGAGGTAATGCAACCCATTTTCACCAAGGATGGAAGAGAAATTGTGATTGACTTCAGGTGGTATGGTGCAGCATATCTTGATGTCGTATGTGGTTATGTTGTCATTACTGTATTATATTTACAAGCATGCCTATATTCTGTCTCATTTTTACTTTCTCAGAACCACAGTCAATAACAAGGAATTGGGAAATTTCAGGGTAAGTCTGAATAGTACTTGTAACCTTCTCTTTTGAAAAAAAATAATATATAAATCTTCCCACACAATCCTTTTGCTATTTACCTAAGAGATGACTGGAATTTTGGACAAGAAAGAAATTGTAAGAAACAAGAGCTTTGGAGTGCCATGTTAAAAACATGAAGCTTCACACTCCTCCAGAGAAAACAGGCAAACAAACATAACATCAAAGATAAAAAAATAAATCACTGATCTGCTACTTGCTTGTCCTCAACTTCTTCATCATTTGCCTTTATAAGAATTTTGCTTTAGTGGAACAGATGTGAAATCTAAGCTTAAAAAACCTAGATTTCATTCTGAGTTAATCATTAATAGATTTGGGCAAGCAAGTTAAACATTCTGTAAAATTTAATGACAATAGCTCGCTCTGGACTCTGGAAAGCAGTGTCTTCTACTCAAAGAAAGTAACATTTTATCTCAGTGTTCAGAGAAGACTTATTAAAGTAAGGATCAGACATTTAAGTTTTAAATCTATTTTTAAGTTAATTTTGTGTATGGTGTGAGATAAAGATCTGATTTTACTCTTCTGCATGTGAATATTCAGTTTTCTCAGCAGATTATTGAAGAGACTGTCCTTTCCTAATTGTGTGTTCTTGGAATCTTTGTAAAAAATCCATTGACTATAAATGCGTGGACTTATTTTGGGGGTGTTTACTCTGTTCCACTGGTCTATGTGTCTGTCTTTATGTCAGTACCATGCTATTTGGTTACCATAACTTTGCAATATGTTTTGAGGTCAGGTGGTGTGATGCCTCCAGGTTTGTTCTTTTTGCTCAAATGGAGGGTTTTTTGTGGTTGTGTATAAATTAAATATTTTTTTCTATTTCTGTGAAGAATGCCATTGGTATTTTGATAGTGATTGCATTAAACCTGTAGATTGCTTTAATACATAATGTTAATGAACATTTTAAAAATATTAATTTAATATTAAGGGCCATTTTAACAGTATTAATATTTTCAATCCTGAACAGGTGATTTTTTCCATTTATTTATGTCTTCTTACATTTACTTCATTTATGTTTTATGGGTTTTTGTGTAGTGGTCTTCTATGTTCCTGATTAAATATATTGCTAAAAATTTTATTCATTTTTGCAGCTATTGTAAAAGAAATTTTTAAAACTTATCTTACAGGTAGTTCCCTGTTTGTTTATAGAAACACTGCTGATTATGTATGTGATGTGATGACATATCCTGAAACTTCACTGATTGTATTTATTAGTTATAACAGTTTTTAATGTAGTCTTTAGGATTTTTGATAAATAAGATAATGTAATTTGCAGACAGGGATAATTTAACTTCTTCCTTTCCTATTTGAATTTATTTTATTAATTTTTCTTTTCTAATTGCTCTGGCTAGAACTACCAGTACTTTATTGAATAGAAATGGTGAAAGTCAGCCTTCTTGTCTTGTCTTGTATTTTAGAGGGAAAGTTTTCAATTTTTCTTTTTTGAATATGATGTTATGAATTTTTCATATATGGCCTATATAGTGTTGAGGTATATTTTGTCTATACCTAATTTGTAAAGAAATGTTGGTCATGAGTGGATGTTGAATTTTGTCAAATGCTCTTTCTGCATTTTTTGAATGACTGTATGATTTTTGTCTTTCATTCTGTTAAAGTCATGTGTCATAGTTATTGATTTATGTATGTTGAATCATCTTTGCATACTGGAGATTAAATGTGAATGTGAATGGACATTGAATTTTGTCAAATGCTCTTTCTGGATCTTTTGAATGACCATGTGATTTTTGTCCTTCATTCTGTTAATGTCATGTGTCATAGTTATTGAGTTATATATGTTGAACCATCCTTGCATTCTGGAGATTAATCCCACTTGATCATGGTAAATGAATGTTTTAATGTGCTGTTGAATTTGTTTTTCTAGTATTTTGCTGAGGATTTTTGTATTTGTGCTTACTAGGGATATTGGCCTGTAGTTTTACTTTTTTGAAGTGTTTTTGTCTGGCTTTGGAATCAGATTGATTCTCGCCTCATAAAATAAGTTTAGAAGAGTTTAAGAAAAATTGCTATTACTTCTTCTTTAAATGTTTGATAGATTTCATAAGTGAAGTTATCTACTCCTGGGATTTAATTTGTTAGGAGACTTTTTATTACTGATTCAATCTCCTTACTCATTACGGTTTGTTAAGATTTTCTCTAATTCAGAATTCAGTCTTGAAATGCTGTGCAAGTCAAATAATCCATTCCTTTTAGGTTATCCAGTTTATTGGCATATAATAAATATATAATATAATAAATATAATGCAATTGATATAATATATAATACAGTATTTTATGATTCTTTGTCTGTTCTATCAGTTCCTTTTTATTTATGGTTTTATTTATTCGAGTTTTCTCTCCTTTGTTCTCAGACTAGTCAAAGATTTGTCAGTTTTTGTTCTTTTAAATAATTCACAATTTTGTCAATATTTTCTATTGTTATTCTAGTCTCAACTTATTTTTGCTTTGATATTTATTATTTCTTTTTCTGACTAATTTAGTAGAGAGGTTTGCAAATAATTAAAAAAAATTGAGCATAGTCAACAAAGAGTTTAAGTATATGCAATTTTTGGTGATTAATAAGTTGTTTAGCAAAGTTTATGCATGAAATGCTGAAAAACATTGATGGCCATATGATTTGTTGCCTAAACCAGGACACTTTTGGGTATTTGGAAAATAAAAATAATAAAATAGAAAAGGAAATATAAGATCTAGATTTTATTTATTGAATGTCATGCCAAGGAATTTAAACCCTATCCTTAAAGTAATGAGAAGATATTAAAGATTTTTAAGCAGTGAATTAAAACATCTTAAAAATTATGCTATAAGGCAAATTTAATGTGAAAGCTGCAAGAGGCATCACCAAGAAACAGATATGTGGCTATGTAGTCTTTAAAGTGGACAGTGAAAGTGGTAATAGAAAGAAAGAACTGTAGTATAATTTTTCTAAATTAAAAAAAATGTTATTGTCTGAAGATAGACTATAGACATTTTGAGGTTACCTGGATGAAGTAATAATTAAAACACTTTGAGCTATAAAAAAATTATACCTAAGTTGAGGTGAAGGAATACCAGAGACGATCACTAAGATACTAGTTTAAGTAATCTGGTGGTGACTACACTATTATTCAAAAGACAGAACTCAGAGGTAAAACTTATTTTGGAAAGGGTAGAGGTTGAAGTGATAAGTTTACTCTTAGCCTTAGTAAATATAAAGTATCTATGGGAATTTGTGATGAAAATATCTATTATATATTTAGCAGGATTCAACAGTTGTAACATAGCTTACTTACACAACTAATTACCCAAAATTATCTTTATCTTTTGTACTTGAGGTCATAAGTGTAAAAACATTCCCATAGAAAGAATAAAGGGAGAGTCCATAGAATATACTTCTCAAGAATTCTATAAAAACAATATATAGAAAGAAAATAGGTAATCTTAATGATATTAGAGGATCATGGGCATTTTTATCTTTCTCCTTTTGGAAACAATCAAATTTGATTGAACTTTGTGGTCATCATTGCTGTGTTTTATATCCATTTTGCATCTACATATGCATTTTGAGCAATTAGTAAATCTAATCCACCAGAATACTAACCTAGATATAAACTAAACTTCTAATTACTTTTCAGAACTCTTTGAAGTAGGTATCATTAGCTTCCCATTACAGATAAATAACTGGGGCTTCAAGAGTGACATAAACTCTAGCAAGTCATACATCAGTACAGAAAAAACTGAAATCTAAATAATGCGCCATTTGGTAGAAATAACCATAATCTACATATTGCTGCACAAAATTAAATTAATAAGTATATTTTAGACCATATTTCACATGTAATTATAACTTGCTACCATAAAGTATGTACTTTGTCATGCCAGGGTGCACAGGAAAAAAACTGCTTGGGTACTGGAATCATATATTAATATCATTTCTGTTCTTGAATCTAATTGTGTAACCTTCAATAATGTTCAGTCTGACTCTGTCTCAGTTTCTACTTCTATTTGATGATTTAAAAAGTTATAATAAAAATAATAAAAGTTATATAATTGTTTTGCAATTACATTTAGACTGTTTATAAAACTTTTAAAATAGTATTTAGAATACAGAATTACTCAACAAATTGTGTATTTTCATAGTCACTATTGTTTATAATTGTTGACACTACTATAAATACAATTTTATTTCAAATAAAGGAATTTTGCAAGGAAGATCTGAATCAAATTCTTATTTCTTAATTTCTTCTTCTTAGGACAGAAACTCCTGGAAAAAGTGTTCCTCTATTGAGTTAGCAATGCTGATTTCCAACAATTCATATGTGGCCATCCAATCTTTTATTCTTAATGGAATTCCTGGTCTGGAAAGAGTACATGTGTGGATTTCGCTTCCACTCTGCACAATGTACACTATCTCCCTTGTGGGAAACCTTGGTCTTGTGTACCTCATTTATTATGAGGAGTCCTTACACCATCCAATGTATTTCTTTCTGGCTATGCTCTCCCTCATTGATCTCCTTACCTGCACCACCACTCTACCCAATGCCCTCTGCATCTTCTGGTTCAATCTCAAAGAAATTAACTTCAATGCTTGCTTAGCCCAGATGTTTTTTGTTCATGGTTTCACAGGTGTAGAGTCTGGTGTGCTCATGCTCATGGCTCTGGACCGCTATGTGGCCATTTGCCATCCTTTGCGTTATGCTACCATACTCACCAACCCTATCATTGTTAAAGCTGGGCTTACCACATTTTTGAGGGGTGTGTTGCTGATGATTCCTTTCCCATTCTTGGTCAAGCGTTTGCCCTTTTGCAGAAGCAATATCATCTCCCATACATATTGTGACCACATGTCTGTGGTAAAGTTATCCTGTGCCAGCATCAAGGTCAATGTCATCTATGGTCTGATAGTTGCTCTCCTAATTGGTTTGTTTGACATTTGCTGTATATCCGTGTCTTATACTATGATCCTTCGAGCAGTGGTCAGCCTTTCATCATCAGATGCTCGACAGAAGGCTTTCAGCACCTGCACTGCTCACATATCTGCTATCATCATCACCTATGTTCCAGCATTCTTCACTTTCTTTACCCACCGTTTTGGAAGGCACACCATTCCCCCTTCTCTTCACATTATTGTGGCTAATCTTTATCTTCTTCTTCCCCCAACTCTAAACCCTATTGTTTATGGAGTAAAGACAAAACAGATACGAGACAGTGTCATGAAGTTCTTCCAGCGTGAGAAGAGTGACAGTTGATCCAAGACAGCTGAAATTAGAAGAATGATGAATGAAAAAGTAACAAAAAAGAAACTCATGTGTGGTATTTTGCATTCACTCATGTGTAGTATCATATGTTTTCTCTTCTCTCTCCCAGAATATGTATTCTGAAACCATATTGGGAACATTTATAGTTAATTCTGGATTTATATCTCAGTGCCTTTCCCTTCTTTTTCTTCCTTATTTTCTTCATTTTAATGAACTTAACTTGGTCTAAATTAACACATAAAATTTTATGCATTTGTTGTATACAACATGATGTTGAAAATATGTATAATTGCTGGGGAATAATGATATCCAGTTGATCCCATAGAAGTAGAGAGTAGAATGGTGGCTTCTTTCATTACTTTTTAAAACTCTTGTTGTCTTTTTACATTTTTTTGTATACATTTTGGTGGTACATGTGAAATTTTGAAACATACATACAATATGTATTGATCAAATCAGGGTAACTGGGATATTCATTCTCTCACACATGTATCTTTTTTTAAATATTAGGGAAAGGTGAATTATTCTCTTCTAGTTAACTATAGTTACCTGACTGTACTATCAATCACTAAATCTTATTTCTTCTATTTTACTGTATTTTTATACCTATTAATCAACTTCTTTTTCTTTCCCCATTCTTATACTTTTCCCAGTTTCTAGTAACCACCAGTATACTCTATCTCCATGGGAACTTCCTTTTAAGTTTTTATATATGAATGAAAACAGCAACACCATTACTGGAGGTCTAACAATTAATGAGTATGCAAACTCATCCTAGAAAAAATGCTACATACCTTATTGCTGAATATCACTACCGTCACCTTTGAAGTAATCCCCTTGGAAACTTATGAATGACATCAGTGCCTAGTCCACCCATTAAAGCAGTTTTGGAACTCTTTTTCTGGAATGGCCATCAGAGCTGTCATTGTACTACCCTTTATGTCCTGAATGTCATCAATGTCTTACTTTCAATATTTCCTTTATCTTTGGGCAAAGAAAAAAGTCATTGGGAGCCAGATCAGCTGAGTCTGGAGGGTGTTCTAATACAGTTATTTGTAGAGTGCTACCAATGAAAGCACACAGTGGCAAGTTCGTGAACTTAATTGTCAGAACTCAACAAATGACAATGATAGTTCTGATGGCTTTTCAAGAAAGAAATCCACAGAAAGAAACTCACAGTCTAGCTGGGAAGTTAAATATCAATAAAAATATACCCAAATGAGTTCTATGATAATAGTCTTTACAGAAGTCTGGAAAGAGTCAAGTAGTCAATTAAAACCAGAGAGGAATAAAATATATATGTTTATTGTAACATCTTAGCAGGAAATGAATAAAAGAGAGAATGGAAATTTAGTCACTCAAGTAAACAAGCATACATACAAGTAGAGTATATTTTAGAAGAGTAATATGACAGAATTTTTGCACAAGTGCTAAAATAGCAAAAAAAAAAAAAAAAATCCTCTAATGTTGAGGAAATTAGAAAGTAACAGAGAGATGGCATTTAAACCAGGATGTAAATCATGAAGAAAATTCTATTTACAAGAGACACAGTGAGTTTTATTTCTTTCTTCAGTCAAGGCTGTCCATTGCCTGGTAACCTCATCCCTTCAGGTCAAGTGTATTCCATTTATAAATATCTGTGTAATGAAAGATATTTGTACCTATTCTCTTAAACATTTTATGAATCAGCAAATATAACAGAGGAAATATTAAAAGCAGATACATACTTGCTCACTGGTGATTTAAAAATTAAATTGATAATATGTGGACAAAAACACCATTTATGAATTTTTAAAGAAATGACATTGAGTAAACATCATATTGTAAACAACTGTGCAGACAAGTTTACTCAGGAAATAAAGAACTCATATAACATATATGTTAGACCTCAAAAATAATAAATGTAGTATATAACTCAAAACATTTATACTATTTCTGAATATTGATTCATTTTTTTCATTTATTTGTTAATCTTAGGATTTTTTCTCTATTGAATAAAATTGTCTATTAAAATACTTATGGCATAATACATAAATAAGGTCCATAACTACTAGGTGTGTAAAAAAGTCCTGGGTGTATTCTTTCCCCTGTAATTTCTCAGTTTAATTATATCTCTATCCTGGCTCACTGATCACTAGTGATTTATCTCTAGTTGCCTCCAGTTTTACTTCTGAGGTATCCATTGCAACAGTTGTTGAGGTCTTATCTAAGGACCAGTGAGGGCCTCAAGACCATCTGGTGGAAACTATGCAATCTCAATTTTTATAACAATACTAACGTATTATTTGCCCTTTCCAGTTTCATTATCTTACTAATATACAGAGAAATTATCCAAAGTTCACACGCTGTGATAGTATTGTGTAATAAACAATGTCAACATTTGCAAGATTTGTGTAATTCAGTGACTCAATATTTCCAAATGACAAGTGCTGATGTCACAAAATGATACATGGGTGGGGATGAATTCAAATGCAAGATAGACCAATGGGTTTTAATGCAATAGAGTACAAAGAGTTCATATAGCTGCATATTCCACATTTCAACTAATCTTTTGGAAACTATTTTTTGTTAATTGTGATACAGTATCCAAAAAATAATCTGAAAGATGCAATAAAAACAGCTCCTTTTTCTCCCAACTATGTATCTGTATAAGGTTGCATATTCTTCATTAACATTAAATAACATTTCTTAACAGATTGCATGCAGAAGAAGATATGAGAACACAGCTGTTGTCTATTGAATTGGGCATTAAAATACTTTCACAAATGTAAATTTTCTATTCTACATTATTTTGTGTCCTGACCTACCACCCTATCGAATCTACATTCAATCATCACTTTCTTCAGGAAAAATTTACTCCCTTTTGGAGAGGGAGAGATTTCAGTTAAATAGGAGTAACAAGTTCAAGGGATCTATTGTACAACATGTGACTATAGATAATAAAAATGTACTATATTTTTGGAAATTCTTACAGAGTAGATTTTTAAGTGTTCGCACTACAAAAACAAATATGTGTTTGTGTGTTAATTAGGTTGATTTAGTCATTCCACAATGTATATATATTTTTAAACAATATGTTGTATTGAATAAATTGAATAAATTCATAAATTTTGTCAATTGAGAAAAAAAATTTTTTTAAGAAGAACACCATATGCTACCATTAGCATGAGACTAACAAGCACAAGTAACAGGTTATAAACAAGAAATTCAATCTCTTTTATTATTTTAACATTATGGTAATATAAGCATTCATTTAAACCACTGTTTAACACACCCTGAAGATTTGGGCAGATTGAATTTATATTTATATTTGCAGCACCTAGCAAGACACTAAACGCATACTAAATATCAATACACGCTTTTTAATGAATGGACAGATGAATGAATAAATGAATGAATGAAATTTCATAATATACTATAATAATTATTATGCTGCCACTTGAATGTGTTTTGGGGAAAAAATAGTAGAAACAGAACTAATACGTCTACCTCATAAACCAACAGAAAATGCAAAATTTGAAAAAAAATCCCTATCATAAAAAAAAAAAAAAGAAAGCAGGCCAAAAAAAAAAAAAAAAAAAAAAAAAGGGGGTAGGTAAAACAAATACTTTATTTTGGTCAATAAAGGTAAATAATTTAAACAAACACTGAAATTGTCATCATCACTTTACTAGTACATAGTACAGAATTGTAAAAATCTACTTAGCCACAGCTTATTGTCTTATCCTCAATTTTCTATTTATCAACACTGGTGTGAACTGAATGCTACTAATTTCAAGGCTACCAAAAACCTGTAGTTTTTGTAGTTTGCATTATGTACAAAAGAAATATGAGTTTGCAATCTAGGAATGTGTTTCTTTGAATACCAAAATTGTTATCAAGTTTCTAACTAGCTTATCAATTTTTACTTTATGTTTGTGTGCAACATTATATTTTGCACAGTTCTTTTAAATTTTATCATTAAATAAGTAAAATTAAAAAGTAGTATTTATGTATATTTAGACTCATACACATACACACACATAATTGATTACTGTAGAAACAAGCTAGGCTTTTAAATGCATTTTTAATAAATATTTGATTCATTTATATCAAATAGTCATAAACTGTTGAAAAAATAGGATCATTACTAGTTCCTCTCTCTTGATATATTACAATAGTCACCTCTTAACCATGTGTGTCCTTGTACCAGAAGACAGTAAATAGGGAACACATAACTACTCATAATGTGAGAGTAGGAAATATATCTCTGAGATGACTTGTGCTCTTTTTTGAAGGATATAGCTCCTAAATATTACACAAATATCCTATTTATTTTTCTCTTGTTTATTTTTATGTGTGTAGTTTTAATTACTATACACATAAGAAACTAAACTACTAAAAATGACTTTATTATTACATGAAGTGTCTAGTTCTCATCTTTACTATATTTAGAAGTCTCTCAGATAAAGGTCCAATGTGATACTAAGGAATATGATATTAACCACAAAGTAAATATAATTTTTTTCAAAACAAAATTTAAATGACTTCAAGACATCATCATTAAATTTATATGCAAATAAAATGGACTTATATTTTGCTCTGAGTAAATATGTTAGAGTAGTACATTAGTATAAAATATCACCACTGATAAAGTACAACCTCAGTATCATCTTTGTCTATTCTCACCCCAAGCCCCATAGACAGTGAGTATGTTTCCTTACTTGATCATTCTCAAACTTTATAACCCGTCAACAGTGAGCTCATTTAAATATGTTTGTCATCTAAAATTAATGAAACACACTTGTAACTAAGTCACTCTAGTAATGAAATTTTTTTTTTTTATTAATCAGTATTTTTTATTATGGTTTTGTGGGGTACAGTTAAGGGTTAGGTGTACAATTACGTTTCATTCAGGCACCCTGTTGATAAGAGGTGTTTCCCCATCCCCAGACAGATATTTGCTACTGTTAATCCCATCCCCCTCCCCCCCATAGTTTCCCAGTACCATC